AAAGCCAATAGAATAGACTCTCTTGAATAGAGTCTAATTCTATTGGCTTTCAAAAGCCAATAGGAATTGTCCAGGCTGTCTCTGCCCTGCTGAGCCCGCCAAAAGTCCCATTCTGCAAACGGTGCTGCACCAGTTGAGTAGTCTTCGACTTACGACCGGTTGAGTAGTCCTCAACTTACAACCGGTTGGGGGTCGCGGCATTAAAAAGGTTGAGAACCACTGGTCTAGTGCATGCCACCCAGTACCCTTTTGCTCTTTCCCAGTCTGTATTTAGTCTGATTTCAAGTAATGTGTCCAGTGGACATTTAACCAGTTCTTTTACAAACGTGGTTTAGAAACCCATGTTTGGGCCACAGTTTCAAATACCATCACTATTTTGGCAAGGAAAGGAATTTTTTTAGGCTGTTTTTTTCCCCTTTTTTTCTCCCAGAGTTCAGGATTTTACTAACACAGCCAGGTGTATAGTGGATTTTTTGTTTTTAATACCACAGACTGGAGACTTGGCTTAATATGATAAATTGCTTTGGGGCAATGTAGCCCTGAAGCTAAAAGGAAATGGGGCTGACAGGTATTATTAGGACCTGATAAGGCAAGCGGACTTTAGGAATGTTACTAATAAAGCTGGTATGTACAAGGATTAAGGCTGTTTCCAGGTCTAATTGTTTTTAGAAAGAGGGCAAGACACGAGAACTTAAGTGACTACTGAAGAAACAATTGAAGAGAAATTACAGAGCAGTTTCCCCTTGGAAATGTTAATAAAACGCCTAGAGTTTCCATCTACGGATTTGTTTGGAGTGTCCTTAATCCAGCTTCCTTATTTTAGTAACCCTACAGCAACTTTGTAAAGTATTAACGTTATCCCGAAATCGTGGGCAGAGGCCCATTAGCCTATAGGCTGTCGTAAATATGTCTAATGTAAAGGCAGATGAAACACTGGAGCGCTAGAAAAACAGCAGTATTGCTGTCTGTGAGTGAATTCTCATTTAATTTCCTGTAGGCCGGAGCATCTGTTAGTGTGCTTAGTGTAATTGCTAATGCATGCTTCCAGCAGAAGCAAAAATAACTTTGCACAGGTCCTGACAGCCTTGTGCAAAGGGCAGGGATTATGTCATGATGTGAACAGCACAATTTGAACAATTTCAGTTATGTTGCGATGGCTGTGCAACTCCTCACGTGTAGATGCCAGAGATGACTGGCCAAGATTCCCCATTGCCCATTTGGCAACTCAATCAATAAACCAGAAGAGAGCTGGAAGGGACCTTGGAGATCATCTAGTCCAACCCCCTGCTCAAGCAGGAGACCCTATACCCTTTCAGACAAGTGGCTGTCCAGTCTCTTCTTAAAAACCTCCATTGATGGAGCGCCCACAATTTCTGGTGGC